GTAGTGGTTTGTAACTGTAGTAGTAGTCGTAGTGGTCGCAGCAGCAGCAGCAGCAGCAGCATCAGCAGCAGTAGTAGTGGCGGCGGCAGCAGTATTGCAATAGTTGGAGTAATGGTAGCAATACTAGAAATAGTAGTAGCAGCAGCAGCAGCAGCGGAAGTAGTAGTAGTAGTAGTAGTAGTAGTAGTAGTAGTAGTAGTAGTAGTAGTAGTAGTAGTAGTAGTAGTAGTAGTAGTAGTAGTAGTGAGGCTTGGGCCGAAGCATGAGCAAGGAAGGCACTTCCATGCGGCCACGCGAGCTCATGAAGGGCGTCATGCATGGACGATGTTGCTGCATGAGGTTAATAATAGTTCACCAACATTTTGCGGTCCGCTTGCAACAGCTTTGCGGTTGTCACCGTGCGAATCGGGGCGGGGTCCGGTTGCGCAAGCGCGTTTCGGTATGCGATGCAGTCAGCCTGCAGTGAGCGGTCTGCCCTCCAGCTTCGTGACAAACTGCGCTTTTGTGACTGCCTTATGCGCGCGGGCCTCCATGGCTTCTTGACACAGCTTGGCCGACAATCTGAACTGCCATCCATTTGATAGGAGGCGAATGTTGGGCACGCTGTCTGGCCCGAGAAGTTCGGCAGGGTAGTTTTTCTTGATCTTCTCCACAAATTCTTGGGGGCAGGCGCTCTGCCCATGAAATAGCTAGCTGAGCAACTGTATTTGGAAGCTTACACGCCCTGGCGTGGTTGCCGATGCTGACGCGGAGGCGGACGACACCGATTGCCGTCTGAGGCGCGCTGCTGGTGCGCTACGTGCGTACTTTGGGGCGTTGAGTGCCGAGTCCGGCAGTAAGTGAAAATCGTCTGAGCGCCCATCTGGCGGAGTCAGGCAGTAAATGAAAATCGTCTGAGCGCACATCTGGCGCTGTGGGAGCGAACGCAGTCGGAGATTAACTGCTCTACGACTCTCACTTCATTACTGAAAGGGCGTGCTTGCAAGCTCTATGCTTGCAAAGGCGTTCTTGGCCGAGGTATGCAATGCGACGTGTTGGCGCGGATACGTTCAGGCCGCACGCTGCACAAAAGGCCTGACGCACGTACTCCTGGGAGCTGTGCACTGCGCGCGCTGCTTCCCCTGCGGCCAGTTGGACTAGGCGCGCGTTGGATTCAGAAGGGGCCGGGGGCGTCTTCCCTGGTGTTTTCATGTTCGGAGTCCAGCGTGCTGGATGCTTTTGAGGAGGAGATGTTTTGGACCACGAAGGCTTCTGGGTTTTCCTGAAAAGCTTGAGCTGTTTCTTGTCTCTCATAGATGAACATGCGGAGCTCTGCGAGCAATTCGGCCTTGAGGCTATGCAAAGTGTAAGTAAGCATGTTCTTCGGCGCAATTTCATTCCGTGGCTGATCGGGGTCCCAAGGCCCTTGCAATGACTCCCATGAGAACAACTCAAGTGAACCCAGCGCAAGCACCCTTCGCCATGCTTTCGGGAAAAACCTGACCCCTGGAAACTGCACAGGTTCACAACTCAGCGTTAAGACCTCCGTGATAAAGGCCGGGCCCACGAGGGAGAAAAAAAACAGTGGTGAAAAACATAAAAAATACAGCCAGGGAGACTGCCCCAGCTAAAAACCTCAGTCAACACTTCTGGGGGACGGTCGCAGCCAAAACATCCGGTCAACGCTAGCGTGGGCCGGTCCAGTATATGTTTGAAATAAACACGTCCCAGGGTAAATAACCGGTCTGCGCAACTGGGGGCCGGTCCAGGAGAGAAAAATAAGGCATCTGGAGAACGGTCCCTGGGCAAATACCCGGTCAATGGGCGTGAGCCGGTCACCCCCCCTTTTGTTCCCGTCCGTCTTGCCCCCCGGTCTGCGCAGCTGTCACGTGGACCTTCATGTCCTTCTCGCCCTTCGCCGCTCGGTCGGCGCCTTCCTTGCTTGAGCTGGCCCCGCATTCCCCCGGCAGAGGCCCTCGTCGCAGGGGTGCCGTCATCCGCGCCACGCCACGCGCGTCGCTCTAATGAACGTTTCATGTACTCACGGCCGTGGCGACCGCATTGGGACCCTGAGTTGCGGGCAACTGCACGCCAGCCATGCTCGGCGGCACGCCCAACGGTCCCTGCTGAACACACGGCGGCTGCGGCGCCACCCTCCCAGCGCCATGGAGTGTCTGCGCTCCGGCCCTCCCACTCTCGGCAGCTCGTTGCCAGGCGCTAACAAATGGCTGTTTGTGCCCTTGCCTTGTAACACCTTTCGTCTTGAGGCGGAACGTCGGTGGCGCGTTGACCCTCGTCCTTGTTTTGTGGACTTGCTTCGCCGGTCTTCGCCGGCTCCTTGGCAGATGTTTGTGGAGGCCTTCCCAGGCTCGCAAGTCGCGTCCCGCCTTGACGGTCGACCGGTGCCACCTCAGGAATCAAAGCGTTGCGGCGTGGCGGAGCTGCTGGCCAAGCGTTGCCTGCGGCAACCACTGTCTTCGTCACAGGCCGTACCGCGCGTCCAGGGAGCCAGTGGGTACATCCCGGCCCTACTCCACGTTTTCCTTGGTGAGAGCCTTGCTTCCCCGCTCGCCCAGTTCGCTGACGAGGTGAGGGCTTCGAGCGTTCCGACCGGCCTCGTGTGCCCGGCCACGAGTGGTCATGCGCCCCTTGTCCAAGCACCCGTCCTGGAGTTTCCACGGTGCTCCGTCTGCGCAAGATCAACCCACCTCGCCCGCTCAGGTGCCCGCACCCGCCCATGGCGAGGTCCCGCCCAGGGTGCCTGCAAGCCCAATAGATGTCCCTGGTGGATACCCTTGTGGATAATATGTAGCTCGAAGGGCGCGCCGCGACTGGCTTTTGATCCAATGACAATGGAGTGAGACTGTGTGGGTTCAATGCTGGCTATAAACAAATAAACGCATGGACGGGCGTGGTTAGAAATATTTACCTTGAGCGGAAGGGGGCACGAAAAGGCAGCTTCATCGAAACAGAAGCCTCAGAGACATAGGCAACAGCAGCAGGTCATGTTGAAGGGACAAACCAGGTTCAGGGCAAGAAAAAAACTGGAAATTCTGGTGCTTGGGGCCCCTGTTTGGAGGGCAGCGTGATGCGACTGGATTGAAAGAACTCCGAATTGTGGCCCGGTAGGGTGGCACGGCCACAGTTTCGAGCGCAGCTTCTTCGAGCGCAGACAATTGCAGAAATAGCCTGCACGCATATGTGCCGGGTGCATCATTCGTGCGGAGGCTGCCAAATCAGAACTCGCGATTTCTCTGCAACACTGGCACTCGAGTCGATTTCGACGTGAGTCCAGTCGCAGAAAGAGGCCACCAATTATTTTAAGAACAAAAACACCTCGCTAAATTAAGGGTCACTGTCATAAACGATTTTGACATGAGTTCAATCACGGAAAGAGGCTACCAATCATTGAGTTGAAGGGGGGCGGACCAGAGAGGAGTCGAGAGGGGGGGCTACTCAAGGTAGGGAGAGGCGCGGTGCCAAAAAGGCAAGGTCATCCGCAGTGGGACGCAGCGCCGCGGGGGCGCGGAAACGGAGGTCGAAAGCCTCTGAGGCTGGAAAGGAATCGCCGCAAGCGCCGGGCGTCCGGCGCCGCAGCAGGGGACGGACTGGTGGGACTGCACGGCTGGGTTGCCCCCAACAGTCGGTGCAACTACCTCTTCCGCGCACTGCCGCCCGCGGAGACGGCTCCGTACTCTGCTGGGCGCGATGATGCGCTCGCTGGCGGGCGCAGTTGGCTGGGCAGAGCTGCAACTCTCCACGCAGGAACGCAAGGAGCCTGGAGCTTACGCTGGCCAGGCAGGCAAAAGCCACGGCTTCCAAGCACTGGTCATCATCGAGCGGGGCAGCGTTGAGGATCACCTGCAAAGCGAGCGACAATGCTTGCTGGACTTTCCCACGGGCAAAAGCTGGGGGGACGGCGACGCGGATGCGAAGGAGATCGAAGGAGTGTCAGCACGTCAACCGGGTCGAGGCTGGAAAGGGCTGAGCGGATGCGGCTGTAGGGAAATCCGGTCGCTGGCAGGGACCAAGGCCAAGTGAAAGGAGGGCCCTCGGAAAAGGCTGGTCGCAACATGGCATGCAAACTGCCGGAAGATCACCCATCGCCACACCTTTCAAACCGCAATTTCTTGCCGGAAGCCATCACGCACCTAGCACACCCTGTCGGCACGTCAGTGAAAGCAAAAAACGCCGATGCATCATGGGCATGCAGAGCACGATTTCAATGTTCTGCCGTTGTTCCAGGAGGCTTTGAGTGCCGCGGAGCACATCACACCAATGGCCGCAAGCGGCATCAGGCCTTTCGGGTTGGCTCCAAACCATTCTCAGCGGACGTATCAAGTCTTGCTTCTCTGCACGCTCGCTTGCTGCTGCTCGGGTTTGTTTTGAAGCGGGCGTACAGTGTGCGAGCTCCACCTTCAAATTGCTGTCCAATCGGTGTAATTAGCTCCAATCCAAGCAGTGAGCAAATGATGGATGCTGTGTTTGTGAGCACGGCGCATTGGACAGCGCATGGGGACTGGCGCCAAGCCTTGGAACCGAATCATTGAACTGGCACCGGCGGAGCCGCGGCCAACGAAGCTATATGGTCACAGCAGCGCCGTACTTGCCAGCCCTTGCCGATCACTGGGAAAAAGCGGAAACCTGCTTGTCGCGCGTGCGCGTCTGACCAGGACAATCGAAGGCACAAAGCGGCACCAGGGTTTAAAGAGGGTCCAGACGGCGTGCGCTCTCACATCATACGCGCATGATTCGGGGAAGCGGGAAGCCCAGGAAGCACCGCTTTTTGCCCAAGCACACTGGCCGGCTTAAATTGTGCCTGATAGGCGCGGTCATGCAGGACCGACATGCGTTGGCAGGTCGGCCTTTCTTGCTTGCAGTTTAGCTGCATGCCTCTTGCGATCCTTGGCAAAACCCTTCATTGTTGCAAATTGTTGGCAACCCTCATAGCTCATTGCACAAGGAAGGCACGGCAAAATTCCAGACCTTTGCAGATTCGGCGGCATCTTTGGCCGCTCCCATCACTTCGCAGCCTGGCATTGCAGAAGTTGTGTTTTCCACCAGTCAGAGAGAGAGAGAGAGAGAATTGATGCTGCCTAAGCCACCCCAACGGTGTAAGACTTTTTAGGAGTTTCCTTTTCATGGATTGGAATGCCTCACATGCTTGAGGGTACACATTGCCAATGGCGACTGGAAACTAATCAAAAGTAATTGGCCATCAAATATCCTTCCCTCCCACCAATTAACATGCAACCTGGTCCTGGTGTGGACCAGTTTCCTTTAAAGGGCGTCAGGTTCCATGTGAAAAAAGGTGGGAGGTCCGCAATTGGTTTGGGTGTTTCTCAAAATAGTGGTATGGTGTTCAAGGGAAACCAAACCAACAACCACATGTTTTGGGCTGGTTTCGACCATCCTCCTTTTTGAAGGGTGTCAGGTGCCATGCTAATTGGGAGGCTACGTGTCCTTCGGGGTGGCCCTGGTCCCCGCCCTTGGGCCGGCGGGCCTGGGCCGCGGCCGCGGCCATGGCCGACTTCGCGTCCGGCGCCGTGAGCAAGGCCTCACGGAACGCGCGCTAAGAAAAGGAGCCGGGCTCGCTCGAACAAAAGGAGCCGGGCGTCCCATGGCTCCGTCTTCTTGTTTACGGTCATGGTCATGGTCCCCGAAACCGGAATCCTTATCATGGCTGTCCAAAATTCCCTACTAAAGGGGAAAGGGTCCATGACCACATCCCTACTGGATGGTTGCGAAATCCATGTTGCATCACCTGAGAAACCACAGAATGATTCGGTTCCCCTGTAAATACCAACAATCAATGGTTTCCCATGGTTTGAAAGAGGTGCAGGAAATTTTGCCATCCACAGTATGGGCGGCTCGTCGTTCTTTCTTTTTACGGTTGGACCCACCAAACCTTGCTGCTCAGCGACTTTTTTTGGGATTGGACTCGCCAAGACTTGCTGCTGCTCAGGTCTGGAATGAGGGGAATGACCAGGTTGGGTCCCACGTTCCCTACTGAGCACCAGCAAGAAAATTGCGAAGGCTTTCCTCTCGGCTTCCCTTTAAAACCACAAGCCATATCGGCACGAACTTGCCATTTAGGTCAAAGTTCATGTACGACTTGTGAGGTAGTTCCAGCCATTCAAATTCATACCCATGCTCTCCTGTGAACTTACGCATCTGGGTCATTTTAGAATAAGCTTGCCTTGATTTCTAAGGGGGCATTTACCAGGCTTGACAATGACCCCAAGGCTGGATTGCAGGGCCGTCCTCGTGAGAGAAAACCAGCAGCATCTGCAACCAAAGTCTGTAACAGCAGATCCAGAAGCAAGGGAGGCTGGCAAGTCCTGCTTGACCCACCCACGCGCACCATCAAGCGCTCGCGGAAGATGGCTGCCAGCTCCTGCAAGGAGTGGCGCAAGGAAGCATCTCCATGCCAAGGCGGATGAAAGGGGACAACAGCGGAAGTGAGTGCTTGCAACAAGCCCGCACCTGAGCTGCTTTCTCACCATGGCCACTCATTTCACAGCCAGGCTTCTACGCATCGCTCACATGTCCGAGCCTCACTTGCGCACTCCAAACCCGGTCTTCACATGGTCTCAATGGAAAGAATGACAAGGGCCTGCACCTATTTCTGTGGATTCATCTCTGCTTCACGAAAAACCCACGCCGGTTAACCTGGTCTGCCCCAGGTTTTTGCCGCCCCAACTTCCAGGGGATTGGACAGCAAGCCGACTCGGACAGAACTCCTCCATGATGCCCTTCACCAGCTCCGGCGGGGAGGACCTGGGAAGCCCAAAAAAATCGCATGATGTGCCATTTTTCCAGGCGGTGCTCAACAAAAAACGCCGAGCCTAAAAAAGAAAGGGTCACCGAACCCCCCCCCCAAAAAAAAAAACACACACACACACAAATAGGCATGTAATGGGTTTGTCTCCAACCCCACGCCTGGACGTGAAAACGTTCCTCTTGACGTGAAACAAGAATACCCGAAGAAAAGGAGACCCGCGTCAACGTCTGCAAACCTATGCGTTCAAACCCATCCAGAAGCTCATCACCGCAGCTCAGGCTTCCCCGAGATGGCCCCAAAACGCCCACGGCCAACCTGGGACGCCTTCTGTGATTCGTAGTCATCCCCAAAACGCATTGCGACACCCGCCGTATTACTTTCCCCCGCCCCCCACCCCCATACTTGTCACGTTTGCTGGATACCAAAAGGTCTCAAGCTCCGTCGCATGCCGTTCTTCCATTCTCCAGGCGCAAAGGGCGTTCCTGTCTCGCAGGCGCCCGCAGCTCACCGAGCGCTCGTGTCCGATCGGTACCGGACGGCCAACGGCTTGCAAATTCACCTACCTCGTGGTCAGCTTTGATGAGCCACGATGCTACGACTGCCAAGGGTTGATCCAAATGGAGAAACCACGTGCTGGAGCCTTTGTAACTCGGCTTTGCATTTAGACCAACCTTCAGCAGGCCATGTTGAAATAAGAAATCTTTCCGATGCCTGCTAGCAAACTGCTTGAGCAGCCAAATGCCAGTCTGAACACGTGTTTTTGAAATACAAGCCTATGTTTGATGCTTTGCGGGGCGAATGTAATTGAAGGTGAAGCAGATGCATTCCGATTCAGCTGGCATATGCTGGTTCCGCTGTTCAGAACCACTGAGCACTTCAACGACTGAAGAAAGTTCAGCCTGGCGAGCTTAGAGATGCCGCCACTCATTCTGGGAACACCTCAAGCTGATCCTCGAATCAAAAAAAACGTGTCACTTGGGCGACCATGAGGTTTTGCAACGCTCTCAGCAATCTGGAAGGTCAAAATCAAGTGCACCTCCATAATTAGCATCAAACAAATGCGGGCGCCAGAGGCCACATATATCCTAACGCACGGAGGTTCCCTCTCAGAGGCTGGCTCAAGAGGCAAAACGGCCTTGGTGGCAAGGTGCACTGGAAGCAGGGCTTGTCCGTCTCTCATTTGCCCTAAGCCCCCACCCAAAAAAACAACAACAAAAACACCAGTGACTTCCATGGTCCAAAAACAACTAAGCCCCCCCCCCCCCAAACAGCTGTGACGTCCACCAAAAACACACTGCTTAGCTCCATTCTCTGAACGGAACGTGGAACTTGATTGCGAGGCGCCGTGCCTTGAGCGCCTCAAGCATCTTCGGGTACTTCCTCATCTGAATCGATGGGTTCCTCCCAGGCCACGTCGCACTCCTCGGGCCGGCGGAAAAAGGCGCCGCGGAAAAAAAGAAATGCCATCCGCGCCTGAGACCTTTGACCTTAGGATCACAAGAGACCCATGACAAGGGTGCAAGAGAGAGATGTCAAAAGGTCATCTTAGCAAGACCCCAGGACAAGGTGCCATCTTAGCCACAAGAGACCCAAGGCTGCAAGAGAGATGACATAGATCCAGAGACATCGCTTGACAGTTCAGCTCTTTGGCCACGTTGCTTCGATTGCACTTGTGCACCACCACTTCCACCACGGCCGCCGCCGCCACCACCACCACCACCATCACCACCACTGTACCAAGGCAAGAGCCACTACCATAGCTGTCACTACTGCCGATTGCCACTGCTCCCTTCACCAGAAGCACAAGGGTTGCAAAGGGCACCCGAGACTCGCACATAGACACATACACACACACAATCACACAAACAAGGAGTCGCACAAACACACAAACGCAAAGACAAACGGACATAATGATACAAACGTGCGCACTCTTAGTGTCACTCAAGGATTCTTGGGCGCACCCCGCACCCCTCGGTCTAAAAACGCCTATGAGGTAAACACCAATCTGCACCCTCAATTGGAACCCGGCTTTGGGCCTTTAAAATACATTCTTTGGATGGACGATATCCTGCATCACCTGAGAAACTATAGAATGATGATTCCCCTGTAAATACCAACAAACAGTGGTTTCTCATGGTTTTAAAGTGGTGCGAACGAATTTCGTCCATCCACAGTAGCTCGCCCCTGATCTGCTGCTTTCGAGCACGAACAAGCCCGGGCGCCTTTAGAGTGTCCGCTTCCCAGCGCAGGGTGAGACTCTCCACCTCTGCCTCTGCGTCCTGAAAAAATCGCCGCACCTTGTGTGTGTGTGTGTTTTCTCTCTGCCATGGGTCAAAATCCAAATCGTACCCCCAGTGAACGGGACCCAATCCAACCACTAAAATAGAAGGGTTCGCGGCATGGAAAGGAGCCTGGGATTGGGCGCGTGTTCGTCAGATGCATCGCTGGTAGGGTTGGTATAGGGTTTGCTTAGGGCTTGTTTAGGGTTGGTTTAACGTGGGTTTATTCGGTATGTCTTGGTCTCGTTTCGTGCAGGTTTAGGGTGTAGGATCGGCTCAGTTGGTTTCAGAGGGGTGGGGATTAGGGTAGGTTTAGAGTTGGTTATTGCCGGTTTAGAGTGGGTTTGTTTAGGGTCATTGGGGCGGGTTTAAGGTTTCTCTGGCAGGGTTGGCGTAGGCCTGCTTTTAGGTTGATTCTCGTTCTAGTGGTGGTTTAGAGTTGGTTTAGGGTGGGCTTGGACTCTTTCGGGTTCGTTCAGGGTTTGGGTTTTCCATTTAAGGTCATCACAACGCCGAACAACCAACGGCCCTACAAAGAAGCAGGCGGCTTGGGGGGAGGGCGCGCACACTCCCCCAATACAAAACAAATAATGACACTCTCCATTTGCTTGAGCCCTCTGGAAATATAAAACATGTGTCCAGTTGTGATAGATTCCTGTTAAAACCAAAATGGAAGAATGTAAAATATTCTTAAGAATCCTTTTAAAACCAAAATGGAAGAATGTAAAATATTCTTAAGAATCCTTTTAAAACCAAAATGGAAGAATGTAAAATATTCTTAAGAATCCTTTTAAAACCAAAATGGAAAAATGTAAAATATTATTAAGAATCCTTTTAAAACCAAAATGGAAAAATGTAAAATATTCTTAAGAATCCTTTTAAAACCAAAATGGAAAAATGTAAAATATTCTTAAGAATCCTTTTAAAACCAAAATGGAAAAATGTAAAATATTCTTAAGAATCCTTTTAAAACCAAAATGGAAAAATGTAAAATATTCTTAAGAATCCTTTTAAAACCAAAATGGAAAAATGTAAAATATTCTTAAGAATCCTTTTAAAACCAAAATGGAAAAATGTAAAATATTCTTAAGAATCCTTTTAAAACCAAAATGGAAAAATGTAAAATATTCTTAAGAATCCTTTTAAAACCAAAATGGAAAAATGTAAAATATTCTTAAGAATCCTTTTAAAACCAAAATGGAAAAATGTAAAATATTCTTAAGAATCCTTTTAAAACCAAAATGGAAAAATGTAAAATATTCTTAAGAATCCTTTTAAAACCAAAATGGAAAAATGTAAAATATTCTTAAGAATCCTTTTAAAACCAAAATGGAAAAATGTAAAATATTCTTAAGAATCCTTTAAACCAAAATGGAAAAATGTAAAATATTCTTAAGAATCCTTTTAAAACCAAAATGGAAAAATGTAAAATATTCTTAAGAATCCTTTTAAAACCAAAATGGAAAAATGTAAAATATTCTTAAGAATCCTTTTAAAACCAAAATGGAAAAATGTAAAATATTCTTAAGAATCCTTTTAAAACCAAAATGGAAAAATGTAAATATTCTTAAGGAAAAATGTAAAATATTCTTAAGAATCCTTTTAAAACCAAAATGGAAAAATGTAAAATATTCTTAAGAATCCTTTTAAAACCAAAATGGAAAAATGTAAAATATTCTTAAGAAATCCTTTTAAAACCACCAAATGGGAAAATGTAAAATATTCTTAAGAATCCTTTTAAAACCAAAATGGAAAAATGTAAAATATTCTTAAGAATCCTTTTAAAACCAAAATGGAAAAATGTAAAATATTCTTAAGAATCCTTTTAAAACCAAAATGGAAAAATGCAAAATAGTCTTAAGAATCCTTTTAAAACCAAAATGGAAAATGTAAAATATTCTTAAGAATCCTTTTAAAACCAAAATGGAAAAATGGAAAATATAAGAATCTTAAGAATCCTTTTAAAACCAAAATGGAAAAATGTAAAATATTCTTAAGAATCCTTTTAAAACCAAAATGGAAAAATGTAAAATATTCTTAAGAATCCTTTTAAAACCAAAATGGAAAAATGTAAAATATTCTTAAGAATCCTTTTAAAACCAAATGGAAAAATGTAAAATATTCTTAAGAATCCTTTTAAAACCAAAATGGAAAAATGTAAAATATTCTTAAGAATCCTTTTAAAACCAAAATGGAAAAATGTAAAATATTCTTAAGAATCCTTTTAAAACCAAAATGGAAAAATGTAAAATATTCTTAAGAATCCTTTTAAAACCAAAATGGAAAAATGTAAAATATTCTTAAGAATCCTTTTAAAACCAAAATGGAAAAATGTAAAATATTCTTAAGAATCCTTTTAAAACCAAAATGGAAAAATGTAAAATATTCTTAAGAATCCTTTTAAAACCAAAATGGAAAAATGTAAAATATTCTTAAGAATCCTTTTAAAACCAAAATGGAAAATGTAAAATATTCTTAAGAATCCTTTTAAAACCAAAATGGAAAAATGTAAAATATTCTTAAGAATCCTTTTAAAACCAAAATGGAAAAATGTAAAATATTCTTAAGAATCCTTTTAAAACCAAAATGGAAGAATGTAAAATATTCTTAAGAATCCTTTTAAAACCAAAATGGAAGAATGTAAAATATTCTTAAGAAAATTGGAAGACACTCATGGAGAAAGTGCGCGATTAACAGCAAGGCCCTAAGAAGCTGAG